CGTTAGGAAACAAAACTTCCAGAACACGGCCACACAGCCCGGAAGACCCACACCAGCCATAAGGTTAAAAGATGGTGGATTTGGAAAAGGGAATATGCACAAAAAAGCAAACCAGATTAAAAAAATGCAGCTTACTTAATTTGAGTTTTCCTTTTTTGCATTCACCTTAAGTAGACCTGCCTAAACAGATTCTGGTAAGAGAGCGAGACACGGACAGCCCAACAGCAGTCCCCTGTTCCTACAGGCCGTGTTTGTGGAGGTGATAAAGCTCACTGGTGGCCCTGATATTAATATCAGAGCGCTGTCACACTTCATAACACACTCATTTGGAAGGAAAGCTGCAGTAATACTTGAGTCTCTGCAGAACCAGAAAGGTCAAGGAAGTCCACTGAATCTCCAAATCATTTCTGAAGGTCTGCAAGGCAGCTGAAAGCACCTGATTCAGTCTGATATCTTGAATGGTCTCAGAGAGTCTTTGAACTGAATTGCAGCTCTGAAATTTTGTATAGTCGAGTTTCAGGGCTTTTAGTGCGCTTGTCTGCATGCATATGTTGGCTAAATGCTGTTTTTTATCCCACAGTTTAAATTTATATGAATTAATCAAGAAAAATAATTTCCAAGGTTTTACCTTGTCTTTGATTCGTCGTTTTACCCACTGCATCTTAAGATGTTTACAACTGTTGTATTCAGAAAAAATTATCCACTGTGATCTGAAGCCTGTAAGTACCATCCTTTCGGCACTGGCGAAGTTTTAAATAATTTTACTTCATTTGGAAATTTAAGACATTTGGGGTAAGAGAACCCTTTTCAGAATGGAAAGGGACTATTATTTTGTTGGAAGTTGTCAGCGCTCTGGATATGCACAATGAAATTAAGGCTCCAGGGGAAAATATGATTTGTTCTAATGCTGGGCCCTTGCATAGGTTACGTCTGTTATGCTGTAGAGTTTGCAAAGTTTTGTGCCACTTGTATTTATAATTGCAGTGAGCAAGTGAGACGGTAGCCAGTTTCTAATCCTTGCACATATTTTGAATTATTACTGACTCCAAGGAGTACGTAAACACCTCACACCCCCTTCAGCACCTCTTGCTTTCTGTTCCATACCTCTAAACATTGAAGCTAAAGCATTCAACACAACTGAATCAGAAAATAATATTGACAACTTTGAAAGGCTTGACGCAAAAAAAATAATCTCCACTACCTCGTTCAATCATAATAAAAACACAGGGTACTTTGGGGTCATCTCTGGCAGGAGACCCCCCCCCCCCCCAGCCTTTGAAGACTTCTGGCAAAGGAAAACACACTGCATCCATCTCAGGGCAGGCTGTCCCACCGGTGACAGCTCACACAGCCAGGATGCTTCTCCTGGGGTCTAGCCTGAATCTCCTGGCAGTTTAGCCCCCAGTGCTGGTCTTGCCCACTGGGGCAACCGAGGACAAGTCCAATCCCTCTTCTGTGC